AAAGGTGATGATAGAACAAAAAAAAGTCTGAATTGAGGCCAGGATGTTGAGGCTTGTTCTATTAAACAAAATATTTTGTTACCAAATTACTTTGTTATTTAGCAATGATTACTTTCAATTAACAACAATTAAATTTATTTGTTGTATTATCAAAATTGCATGTTTTCAAGTTTTCGTTTCGGGATATTTACTCCCATCTTCAGAACCACAATTCCATTGATCTTGTGGATACATGGCTTAAATCTAATATGCTCCACCGTCAGTTTCTATTTCATGTAACAATAAATCTAGATATATAACATCTAGAGCAACATCTTGCTTTTAGAATAATTTACAGCATGCACTATATTTTAACTCAAAAAAATTTAGTGGATACTCAAAGTATCCACCAGATCATTGGGATTGTGGTTCTGAAGATGGGAGTATATATCCCGAAAAGTAAAACTTGTAAACATGCGATGTTGATAATACAACAAATAAATTCAATTGTTGTTAATTGGAAGTAATCGTTGCCAAATATCATACAACTTTCCAGAAAAGAAGAAGATACCAAATTACTATAAATTATAGTACCATATAACATTGTAAATTGTTCAATAAACTATTGAATAGTTTAGGAGATATAAATAATTTTCAAGGGTTGAACTCCACAATATATGTTCTTAACTATATAATTATGATAAGAAAAATTAGGATAAAAACAATGATACAGCTGACAGGGTTGAAAAACAAGGATGTAATGATGCGAAATAAAGTGTTGAAAGTTTGTATTTTTCAGTTTAAAATAAATATTGACATAAATTACCTTTAATTTAGTGCAAAATTAACTTCTTGTATTTCCTGACTTAAATTTGTCAGTAAATGCTGAATACCAATTAAGAGACTAACCAATTAAGGTGGTTCCATTTTTAAGACCTGCTATTGAGTATTTCATTTTAATTTAAGGAAATACAGTCAGCTAATGGCAAAAGGCCCAATGTAAGACTCCAGTAGCCGACACCCATTAAATTTCCTATTTGTTTTCACAAAACATAATATAAAAACATTCTATACAGCAAACAGCAATTTCTAAAACAGCAATTTAGAAATTAATATAATTGAGTTGAATTTATGTATGTGGGTGTCACTAGCAGTTCCAGGATTTAATTTTTGGGAGGTTTCAACCCGGAAGCTTTTTTTTTTTTATAAAAATGACGATAATTTGGAAAAAAAAAAGAAACTAACTATCTATATGAATTGGTGTTTAAGTGATTCCTTAAGTCCTTTTAAATGTAATTACATGAACAATAATACTTTAAGAGATAATTTTTTTAATATATTTTTCCATAAAACATAGTTATATTTTACCATTTTGGGAAAGGCTTCAATACCTGACACCCCTCTCCCTCCCACGTAGATCTGCCCATGGTGGGTGTGCATATAAATGATAAACAAATATAGCAACGGTGAAATATAAAGAATTATTGAGGTCTTTATTAGCACTGCTTAACCTTACCGCAGCCTCTAATCATAAAAACGTTCTCTCGGTACGGTTTAAGAGATGCTGAAATCTTATTATTCCCATTTTTTGGGGTGGATGTCAGGTATTGGTTCTTTGTCAGCTACTGGTGCTTTTACCCTAAATAGTTTTAATAAAAACAAACACTACTTGTATTTGAAGAAAAGTTTATCTATTTATCTGTGAAGCAATTGTAATTAAATATTAATTAACTAATAAATTAAATATTTCTTTATTAATTGCTTTCCATTCAACAAAAAATGTCTCAAAAAAAAAGAAACATACAAAACATTGATTTCCTTCAGAAAACTGAACCATAGTTTAGGTATATACATTTTTCATAGCCCTTTAGGTCTATTATCACCCCTTTAAATATTTCCTTTCACTCAGGGTATCTTGTAAGTAGGTAATTCAGATTCATGAATAGTAGTATCTTGGCCTATAGACGTTGAAAGTTATTTCAAAATAATAACGATAAAATTTTCCATGGTTTCAGATTGATCCTATACTAGTTTGTGTACATACAGGGCCTGAAATATAAAATATAAGTTCTGAGACAAAATCAGAATACATAAAATTAAATCAAATTGTGCCATGAGAGTGGTCTCTATCTAAACATGTTAAAAAGATCCTGAGCATTCATGATTAGCATCCTACCCTACCAGAATGTGCCATACAAACTGAACCTTAACATTCTCATTCTGGCTGTAATCATTTCTAATAGATTTCTGAATAAAGCTTTATCAGTAGAGGTATAAAAAAAGATAATTCCACGTGTTTTTTTATTAAAAATTAACAGTTATTTGTGGATATTTATTATTTATATATTCAATTTCAATATTTAATTTAGTTGTATCCTGTTATTTGTATGCATACAATTGTGTTGGTTGGTGTATGTACACTATAATTTTGTAATTTTAGCATTTAATTATTTTTTTTATAAATGACAGAGGTTGTATAATATTAATCACTCAAATCTATATGGTATAATAGTGATAGTCTAGTGCAGTATAGTTTTTATATTATGTATGATTAGTAATATGAAGAAGGGGAAAACATATATATATATAGTAAAATAATGTAAATTAAGTGCTGTCCGAATTGTGATTGATCAGTTGGGTATAAAGCAAGCAGGACTAATTAGTAGGGCAGCACTACTTTCAATAAATTTTTTATTCTTTTTTGGCTTTATAAAGTATTTCATATAATAAAGTATTTCTCTCTCTTAAAACCTTTATTAATTATGGGATGAATGGTGAGAGATTAGAACAAAATAATATTTAAAATACTTTGGTGGTCATCTCATACAATTAGTTGTATTGAAGAAATAATTCAGAGAATTAGAACAACTGAAAGAATCTTATGTTTGGTTCAGAGAGGTTTCCTAGTTAGAAGAGAGTTGTCAACAAAGATTATAATGTTATTTTCGTCCATATTTCCTATTCTTTTGATCTGGCTTTTGTGATGTGCATGTGAGTGCACAAACAAAAAATCCCAAAAGCTAGATCTAAATCACTGATATGCCAGACTCTTGAAATGTGGAAAACTCAAGGTCTAGCTAGCATACTACTATAAAAGCTAGCGTCAAGGCTGAGAATCAAAGCTAAAATGGCAGAGATCATCAAAGAGGAATCATCAAGAGCAATATATGCTAAGCTGATACAGATATCTTTTTAGGTTGGATCAGGAAAGAACTGGTAGAAAGACTTATGGGACCCACAAGGAAGATATAGGGATCCACTTTGGGATAGATGATGTCCATAGGTGTTCAGAGAATGAGAATAATTTGTAGCACAGTAGAGCTGGTGGAGGGTCAATATGACATATCCAGTTTATAAACAGTAACCTCACACTTTATAACTGTAGGATAAAAAACTTCCAAGACATATAAATAATTTCAATAACAATACTTTTAAAATAATATATAAAATACAATGTTCTCTAAATTCAAATCTAATTTTCACTTTAATTAAATATAAATAAAAACCAATGAAGGTTTATTCAAATAAACCATTATGAATCATATTTGATATATTATATTTGTATGCATAAAAAAAATTTTAAAGTTTTTTTTGTAATCAATTTCTCAACAAACCATCAACCTAATTTTTACATTTCTAAAATAGTTTTAAAAAATTTGTTAAGTAGTTCTGAATTTCATGAAACCATTTCTTCATAAACCTCAATTCTATAAAAACGGATACTTGGAAAATGTACCAATAAAATTCTAAGAAAGATAAAAACAAATTTAATGATTTATTGTACAGTTTCATTTTTCACTATTCACAGCTTTTATACTATAGCGAAACTAACCCACCATAATGTCATTTTAAATAAGAAAATCACTGAAAGATATATATTACTAGAATAGAAGATAGGTAAGAGGTAGATCAAATGAAATAAAAACAACTTATATTTTATTTTAAACAATAAAATAAATAAATCTAAAATAAATAAATAACTAACAATGTGAGCAAATAAAATTATTAACATAAGAATACTGCATCTGAATTTAAAAAATAAATACATATATAATTGAAGTCTTCAGAAAATTTAAGTTTTAGCCTCTGACAGGTTTATTTTTTAACAGAATGTCATAAGCTATACAAAACAAAAATAGTTACAATTAAACATTAATGCATTGCATTCATTCATAAACGACATTAAGTACTGCAGTCAGAATTAAGTATTAAACAATAAAATATATTAAAATTAATGTCTTTATAAATTAAAAACAAAATTAACAATTAACTTTTAAAATATTAAATTTTAACATAATTATAAAAATAAAATTTTCAAAAAAATAAACAATTTTTTTTAATTATCACAGTACGTCTGAATAAACACTAATTACTAAATGTATAAAAATAGGTAACATTACTCTTTTTGTTTTGGAAATAAAAATCATGAGCTTTATAAACAATACTAACAACATATGGAATGAAAAAATATTAAATTTGATTTGTTGTAAGATATGACATAATTTTAAAAAATAAATTTTACTAGTCATACAGCTTCTTATTAAATAAAAAATATTTTAAAATATATCTTCCATAGATGGAATTTACACCCTGTTTGGTTTTGAGAAGTTGGTAGGAATCCTTGATTTACTATCAACTAATTACATACTCCAATATATGTTCACTAACATATAATTTGTTTTTTAAGAATATTGCCCTTAAAAGGAATCATTAATTTTCGCTATCAACTAATAACATATTTCAATATATATTTACTAACAAACAATTCATTTTTAATAACAGCGTCTCACAACCTAGTTACTCTAATTTAGAATGAACTTTAATTTCTACAACTAGCATAATTTTAATCCTGATAACAAAAAATCTAAACTAAAAAACTCTCAACAATATACATGGCATACAAAATGTATGCTACGGGTCATCTAAGAATGACAGTTCAACCAAACCTAGCAATACTGTACAACAATATGACCCTAATACCCGATGACAAATAAGTTACGAAAAACTACTAAAAATATATTCTAAATTTCTGAACTTGTTGGTACTACATTACACAACATAGATCTCAACAGCTTAACAGCTGTTACGACAGCAAATACAAGACCAAGAAATGCGAAGTAGCAACCATAGATAACAAACTGAAAAAAAAAAAAAATATATATATTACATAAAAATAAAAACATGAATAATTAATCCTATAATAGGTAAAAGGACTGAGCATAATTTAAAATTTGAAATCTTTCTGATTTGTATTTAATTCATCACAAAAATAAATGATAAAGAAATGATTTATTTCTAACGTATTTTATGCAAGAAAATAATTCTCTCCTCCCCAATTAAAGATTTCACTCCTTTAATAACGACTTAATTGGTCATACTTCTCACTTGCACAGAAAAAAAGGATTTATTATAATCAAAAGATCTATTACATGAAATAAAAAAAGAAAAAAAAAGAAAGTAAGATAACAATATACAAAACAAATGAGGAATGGTGAAATAACATTCTTTAATAAGAAAAAAAAAAGAAAATTAGATCTATATATATATATATATATAAGTAAGTAATATTAAAAGTGATGCTAAAAAACCATCTTATCACTTCTACTCCCTTAATCTGTATATAGTCCTTAACAACTCTATCCATCATACCTAAGTACTCAGACTCTTGGCTCGATTTCTACCTTATTGGTTCTCCTGAGAAACTCTACGCCTCATCATAACATTCGATTCCTTTTTTGCCTCCTATAACCTTCCTGTTCTTTCCTCCAGACCTATATCTTTTAGAAACCTTAATGATATAGGTTTCTTCTCAATGATATAGTTATCTTTTAGAAACTTTAATGCTCGCTTCGGTGATATATATACTACAAACTTTAATATCATATCACCCGAAATTCTGACATCTGATCTGGACACTGTCCAATGGGATTTCATATACTCCTCAAATTCCATCGATTTTATGGTAGAAATCCTAACCAATCATCTACAAACTATCCTGGACCGTCATGCTCCTCTTAAAGTTAGGACAATCAAGTATTCCCCAGCCCCTTGGCTGATGTTTAAGGTGAAAGCTTGTATGAAACGAATTGATGCAGCTAGACAGAGGTTTAAACCCATTCAACTCCCCTAAGAATATATCAACTTCAAGCTCCTTAGAAACAGTACTCAATCCTTTATTTAATGTGCCATGCCAAATCCCATTACTTTCAACAATCCCTATACAGCACTCCAAACTCCAAAGCGAAGTGGGCATAAACTGTCCTCAGGTAAAGTCTACCTCTAATTCAGCTGACGTATTCAACCCTCACTTCGTCTCCTGTTCCTTTCATTTTCTTTTCAAGCATCAGTTCCACCCCCCATTTATCCCTGCTTTAATCCTAGTCACTTTTTCGTTTCTTATATTACTCCTAATGACCTCCTTAAATCCATTTGTCAATTCTAAACCAATGAATTCTGACCAGATAAAATCCCAGTTAAATTAATTAAATCCGTACTTCCATCAATTCCCACTATCCTTTGTCACATCAATAAGTTTTCACCAGAAAATTCCACTTTTTCCAGTAACTGGAAAACTGCTCTTATGTGTCTACTGCATAAAACCTCTAATTCTGCAACCCCTAATGATTTTTGCACAATAACTCTGTTATCTAACCTTTCCAAACCTTTAGAACGATTAGTACAATCCCAATTATCCCACTATCTTGAAAAAAAAATAAACTTTTGAACTGCTTCCAGTCCGGTTTCCTAACTACTCTACTCATTCTGTCCTCAAAATCTCCACACAGCTATAGACCAACAGAAACTCACCATCCTTATTCTCCTAGATTTTCCCAAAGCAATTGACTCAGTAGGCCATAATATCCTCCTAATCAAATATCTCCTTATCATCTAGTGCCCTTAAGTGGTTCGAATTCTTCCCCACTGGTTGCTCCCAATATGTTAGAGTCCCTAATAAACCTCCATCAGAGTCTCTACCCATGTCCAGAGGTGTTCCACAAGGTTCCTCCTTATCTCCTATTCTCTTTTCCATCTATATCAATGACTTCTCTTCCTCTATTCTGCACTGTCAATACCATCTGTATGCCGAGGATGTTCAAATTTACCTTTCTTTCGATTCGGCTGATTCCTCTGATGCCATCCTAAAATTCTAGGAAGATATCAATATAATACGTGCTTGGGAAAACAAAAGCCATCATCGGATCCCCCTCACTCCTCAAATCCATTCCTGTACCTCCCAATATTCTCCTGAACAACTTGCATATCTCCTTCCATACTGCTATTAAAAATCTTGCTGTTACCCTTGATCAAACCATATCAAGAAAACCACACATCTTCCAAATTTCCATCTGTCTCTGCTATCTTCTTCCATTTAAAACCTGTCAACTCCTGGTTTCCTTTTTTGTTTCCCCACACTTGACTTTGACTGTGTGGTGTATGGTGGACTCTCGGGAGAACTCAAAGTCAAATTCAAATGCCTGATGAATTGCTCATTTAGCTTTATCTTCGAGATCTCGAGAGATACTCATATTTATTACCCAATATTACACTGAGTTGAAGTGACTTTATTCATCCTACGGCCGTCAATACTTCCTTGCTACTTTCCTATCAGGCTATTAAAACTCTGTGACTCTCCTGTATTCTACAATTTAAATCCTCCATTCAATCTCATCCCACTAGATCCGTACGTATGATCTCTATTCTTCTCTTCACCAAATTGCTGAGTTTGACAAACCCTTTGTAATTTAAGCCATCTTCCTCTGGAATTCTATCCCTACCACTAGTGGATCCAGGAATTAATTTTAGGGGGGAATTCAGCCCGGAAGCTTTTTTCATAAATATAACGATAATTTCTTTGGAAAAATAGAAAGATTCTAACTACCTACATGAAATGGTGTTTAAGTGATTTTTGAAGTCATATTAAATATAATTAAACGAGCAATAATACTTTAAGACATAATTTTTTAATATTTTTTACCAGAAAACATGGTTATATTTTACCATTTTTTGGGGGGGGGGGAGGGGAAGGGCTTCAGTTCGAAAGCCCTCCTCTCCCCTGTAAATCTGCCTGTGATCTCTACTAATATTCAATATGCAAGGTACTAACCTTTTTCAAATCTCTCCTCTTTAAGCACCTGTTTCATTCCCAATCCGATTAATCATGAAATGCATGTAAGATTCTAAGTCGTAAGACTCTCAAAGTACCCCAGATATATTTTTGTATATTTATTTTATCTTTCTCTGTTTATTTGATATTTATGTAGGCTTTTTAAATCTTTCTTTAAACTGTATTTTTACTTTATGTTATCAATTATTATTATGTTAATAAAATATAAAAAAAAAAAAATACCTTTAATCTCTCATTATTTGTTAATAATCCAGAACTGACAAAAGTGGTTAAAATACTTTGAAACACCAATGCAAGAAATGTCGTAAAACCAAAAATTAAACCATGACTGTCTGGATTCACATTTTGGGCGATTTCAGAACTAAAAAAAAAAAATTTTCTTACATTAACAACACATAGTATTTTCATACAGTAGTAAAGTTATTTTCAGTAAAATATACATACAAATAATAATTATGGTAAAAAATGATTTACCATAGTTTTAATTGAAGGAATAGTTGGTCAGGGAGTGCAGACAATAATCATACATTATTATCGTTAGATATTTCTTTGTAGGCCATGTTATTATCTAGCTATTTTTTCCCTTTCCCCTTCTTCCCTTTAGGCTATATGAGGGTTTTTACCAGGCCAGGGAAGAGGATAGGGAGATTAAAGTCAGAGTTAGAAGTCCCTCTGGCCCCACCTACAATGTAGCTCTAGCCTATGTAGATCGAAAAGTAAGCTATAAATATTACACGATGATAGTGAATAATTGTTTGCCGCACTCCCAACCAACAATTCCTTCAAAACAAATATTAATCAATAATAATCAATAAAAAAGTACAGACATTTCCGGTCAAATATGAAAATTATGCTTTTTAGAAACTGTGACAATAGAATACCTTCACATACATTAGCCTAGGTCAGGGTTTCCAAACTACAGCCAGTGAAAATTTCTTTAATTAGATTTTAAAATTTAAAAATATGAAATTTAGTAAATTGCTCAAATACAATTTTTATTACATGAGTTGTTTCTCTTAGAAAGCTCATTTCACAACTCAAGTGTCATTTATCAGACAAGGTTTTCTTTTTCATCAGAAGACATGGGACTCAGTGGAAAAACTCAATCTGGCCCACAGATCAAAAAGTCTAGAGGCCCGTGGCTCTTAGGCAGGAAGTGAGGTTGAGAATGCAAAGATTGTATTTTCTGGGTTTTCTTCTGATTCTTGTCTGGAACTTCCTCATTACTAGGAAAAGCACATTTTGGCAACCAAGAATGTGGTTGATTTAGGCTGGAGAGATAAGAAGATGCTGTGAAGTGACACTCTGAGATTTTGTTATTTCACATTCTTTTAAATTACATAATCGCAGTGAGGAAATTGAGCACAAAGTTCTACAGAGTATCCTCCGAATTTCTCCCTACATTTATTTTCTTTAAAAATTTTTAAATAAAGTTGATAACCATTGCACAAATTTTTGTAAATTTGTCAAATTAAAAATTTAAGGAAAGTTCTACTTATTCATAAAATAAGAAAAATAAGTAGTAGGCATACTTTGGAGGACACTCTGTACAACTCCGTGCTCTATCTCACTTCTCTTACTTATTATTAAAAAAATAAGAAATAAAAATTTCTTAGCACTGAATGACCAAAAAACACTTAAGAGTCTCTACTATGCTCAATGGCCAAGTTAAAGAGAATAGACCAAGAGTGTCCCTTCAAGGTATCCCTACTTCTCTGCAGCCTAAACCTACCATATTCTTACGTTGCAACATGCAGTTTCTTTTCTAGGCAGTAAGATGTACTGGACAAGAATCAGAAAAACCACCAAGAAAAAGAAGAGTGTCTCAGCACATCTAGTATTCATCACCAATCGCTGCCAACAATCTTTCTATTAAGTATTGTAGTTTTTTTGGCTTTCCAACAAACCTCTTCACAATCATATTCAAATCATTAACAAGTAACAAGGATTTTATTAGGAAATATTAGTACTGGCAAAGTTAACTACAGTAAAACTTCTCATAGCAGACAATTCTCTAAATCGGACTTTTCTCTATAGCAGACAAATTTATAATCCATATCTGATTTTAATACCTTGATAGTATAAGTGATTCTGCATAAAATAGTTTTCAAAAATCTTTAAAAAATTTAGAAAAACTTCTAGATACTATCAAAATACATACATTGCATGGCAATGATCATTTGACATTAGTGACAGGAAGGAAATTTACTGTCAAAGCATTTTCGAAAACAGCATTAAATTTGTCAATAAAATTCATGTAAAGGTAATGCACAATAAGAAATAGTATTATCTCTTTCTTCTTCCTTTTAAAACAAGTATAGTCATTGGTACAAACCCTTTTTTATTAACATCCATGAGAAACTTCGTGAATAGCTTTATCTCATCGCAACATACAATGCAGTTTAGTACCTAACTTACAACTAATTTATTTATGAAAACACTAGGAATTGGACGTTTTCAATCTGGAGATTGGCATACATTGTCAATTTAATTAGGTTCTAAAAGCTCGTAAATACCCATTTTCTTCCCACTTGGATCATAAGATAAGATAATTTGGACACAAAATCGAGAAAAAATGTGGCCTACAAAAATATTGGGCCGTTCGGCCTATATTACCTCATTATTTTGACATTTTGAGAGTGTAGGTCAAGCCTAACTGCTCAATATTTTTGAAGGCCACTTTTTTTCTCGATTTTGTGCTCAAATTATCTTACGATCCAAGTGGAATGCTAATGGATATTTAGGAGTTTTTAGTACCTAATTAAATAGACAAATTTTGCCAATCTCTAGATCTTAAGAGGACCGGACATAATAATTGAGCAATTTATCATCCTAAAAGCTCTACCTTATCTACCTTTCAAGAGGACAGGGCATTACTGGACTTTTGACTTCTTTCTCGTAGGGATTGCTGAGCTATGCACACCACAGTATACATTGCCAGACAGGAGAGGACACAGGCAAACTTCCAGCACCTAAAACTGGAAACCCCCACAGAAAATCGTAATACCTCAGGTTGGAGATTGGGCACAGCCCCTGTTCCGTAAAAATCCTACTTTTTAAAAGAAAAATCACACAAAGCCTTGCAAAGAAATGGATTAAATGGTAATGTCATAGACATGGGTCACAGACAAATAAAATTGACAACCTGAAATTTCAGGAGCTTGTTCCAACCTGGAAATGGAAGAGATCTGAAAACAGAAATAGACAAATATAAATTAGTATGCCAGACAAACAAATAATCTCCTGGAGAGACACATTGCTCACCAAGATAACGCATTACAGAACCATTAATGGTAGTAATAGGAAGAAGGTTATGGGCACAGGTTCGCAATAAGAAACTCCCTCCTGCACTCAGTTATAAAATACATAACAATAAACAAAAGAATAAGGGTTTTAAGAGGACAAAAACAATAATGAGGGAAAAAAGTTCAATATGAAAAACATTTACGATTTTTTACCAAAGAGCATGATGTCAAAATACATTAATTCTAGGAGATTTTAATGGTAGAATAGAAAAAGAAGAAGTATTTTGGGCAATAATAGGCGAACAAACAAACCAGAATGGACTGAAAATAGTTGATTTTTAAAATTACAGGAATCCTTTTCCCCTATAAAGAAATACAGAAAGAAACATGGACCTCACCAGATGATTTCACCACTGATAATCAGACACCCGAAAAATAAAATTGACCATGTGCTCTTTGATTGATTGATGCCAGACACACTCTTAGTATTTTGGAGTTCTGCAATTAAAGGAGATAACTATGACTACCATTATCTGGTTAGCATTCCATATAAAAAGAAGCTGGCTTCACAAGGAAAGAGGTATGCAAGAAACCCTACCATTCATAATGCTGAAAAGCTAAATAAGTACACTATAGCATAAAACTTTCAACTATATAATGACTGGTTTGATGAGAGCTGTATAAGGACTATTGAAGAAAGAAATAATGCCAGACAGAAAATGATCCAGCAAAGGACCCGAACAACAGCTGAAGACTATAATGTTGATGAATATTGTATAAAATATAAGAGTAACAGCAGGCAACAGATGTGTTATTGCATTATGGAAAAAATTGCAGTTTCAAAACCTGTCTTGGGAATAAAAGCTATATATATGATCTGGCGACAAATTATCATAAATGTGAAACATGGTTCCTGACCCAGGAGTGCGATAGGATCCTTCAGATCAGCAAAAGAAAGGAACATAATTTTAAAATGTTAAATTTAGGTTAGTTAAAATATAGCATGAAATGACATACTTGACTATTGTAATCATTCCATTATAGATTACAGCATACAAGATATACAATCCAAAAGCAAAAATAATTTGAGCAGTTTGAGACATAATGTACAAAAGTGCTGCAATAATTGTCGAACAAAGGAAAAGTGCCAATTCTCCATATTGACTCCACTGAATAGAAACCATTCCACATCCATATGCAGAGCCAGCACCTGTAACCAATGTTGAAAATGTATTTCTGGTCATTGCATTCATTAATATGATTATCACAATAAATATAAAAATAAATGTTTAATTGGAATTAATTAAAACTGAGAGGCTACATGCTAACGAAAAATTAAAACCTATGAGAATGGTCGGAGTCAGTTTATAAGGCTAGCGAACCCGAAGGTTTGATGGCGACACCACCAATTGCTTATTACACATCTCCCTCCATCGTTCGCCGTCCAAACCCAATCCCTTCAGATTGGCTTTAATGAAATCTTTCCACCTTCGCTTTGGTCTACCCCTCGGACATTTACCATTCGGTATAGCAAATATTAACCTTTTAGGAATTCTCTCGTTACTAAGCCCAACAATTTTACAAGCCCATTTGATTCGCCGCGATGAAATTACCTAAATTATATTACCCGGATACAGTTCACGCAGTTCGGCGTTGTGTAACCGCCTGAACTCTCCAGTTAACTCATCCTTCTTCGGTCCGAATATCCTACATAATACTTTATTTTCAAAAACCTTAAAATGCTGCTCATCCCTTAATGTAAGCGGCCAAGTTTTGCATCCATAAAGAACTGTAGGTAAGATAATGGTTTTATAGATTCTGATTTTTAAGTTCCAGGACAAGAGGCGTGAGCTAAGTAGTTTTGTCACAGAAAAATAACAAGCATTTCCCGCCTTCAGTCTAACCTTAATCTCTTCTTCGATTTCGTTTTTTCTAGTTATCGTAGAACCTAGATACCTAAATTTCTCTACATGTTCAAGCAAATTACCATCTATATCGATATCACCAGTAGTATTACCATTTTTGCAGATAACTATATATTTTGTTTTATCCGTTTTTCGTCCTAGTTCTTTACCAGCTTTCATTAACGTTGTCGTATTTAGTTTTATAGTTTCCACGTCTCCGCTTAACAGTACCAGATCATCAGCATAGCCTCGCACAGATGTTGTCCCACTCAGATCCAACCCTTTTTCGGTACATATTACCTCCCTAATGGCATGTTCTAATGCCAAATTGAACAGGACAGGCAAAAGGGAACCCCCTTGTTTTAAACCCGAACGGACCTCAAATTTTTCGGACAGATTATAACCAATTCTAACTTTATTGAGTGTTTCCGTTAAGCACATCCTGACTAGATTAACTAGTTTTTTTGGAATCCCCTGCTCGATTAGAACGTTATACAGTTTCTGGCGGTCAATAGAATTGTAAGCCTTTTTTAAATCGATATACAACTGGTGAACAATAACGTTGTACTCCAATTTTTCCTCTAATATTTGCCGTAAAGAAAATATCTGATCAATAGTCGAACGATTCTGTCTAAATTCGCATTGGTAGTCTCCGATAATTTCCTCGGCATATTCCGTGATTCGACTAGTTAAGATTAAAGTGAATATTTTATAACATACCGGAAGGAGTGATAGTTATTACAATCCGTCCTCGGCCCCTTTTTGTGAATCGGAATTAGAATAGATTCTTTCCATTCTTCAGGTAATTTCTCATTCTCCCAGATCTTTTTAACCAACCAATGTATTTTAGAAACTCCAGCTTCCCCGCATGCCTTAATTAGTTTAGTAGGAATATTATCGGTTCCCGCTGCTTTATAAGATTTTAATTTTCCGATAGCTACTTCAACTTCCTCTTTACTTGGTCCTTCTATTAACGGTTCAGCACTCTGGTACTCAGAAGGACACAGGTCATAATTTCCCGTACTTAAAATATTGTCAAAGTGGTTCTTAAACTTATTTAATATGTCAACCGGATAGGTCAGAATATTGTTATTTTCATCCCTAATTCCAGACGTTACGGACCCTAAACATTTACGTGATATGTTTATAAACTTGTACATGTCTCTTATGTTATTTTCGATTCTATTGGTTTCTATTTCAATTATTTTATTTTTAAGATACTTCCTTTTTTTATTTTTGTCGTTTCGTTCTTTGAGGTTCGGAAGTATTCCAGATTGTCTTCACTAGGATTATTTAGAGCTTTTAATTTATTACAAATTTATAAGTTCTTCCAATCACTTTTTAATTAAAACTTTAAAGATTCTTAAAACTCTGAAAATGTTATTATCTTTTGTTGGTAAAATTAATATCTTCCAAGAAAAATTAAAATCAAACATTTTAAAAAATCTAAAGTTCTTTATTTAAACAAATATTGCATTTTTTTGTAACATTAAAATGTAATTATAACATTATTAAACTTTATTTCATAAACATAAAAAATGCTATTTTCTCAAGAATTTTATTTCAAAATGAATCTTTTTTATTTCTTCAATAATGCAGGTAAAAATAATTTAAGTTTGAATTAGAATAGTGATACAGCTGTGTTCTTCTACATAACTTAAAAATCAACCATCTAACAGTAAAAAGATAAGGTTTAGCCTTTTTTAAATTTTTAATATGCAATAAAACAATGAATATTAATTATGAAGTACAGTCCAATATCTTGAAAACTCCAATAATCCAAATTGGGAGAGAGGATGACGTAAAAAAGATTACTTTTTTTGTTTAGAAAAAGAAAAAAAGTGAGCATGAGACAAATTTCTAATGAAAGACAAATTTCTACCCCCTAGTCGAATTTATTATGAATCCACCCATTCTCGTACCAAGGTTATTTTTCGATTATCCCTAACATACTTTTATAAACTTAGCATGATGATAAAGTGGTTCATTTCTGCCACTGTATTTGATCAGTCACACAGATACAGTATCCTTCAAAAGCCAAAACAAACAATAATAATAGTGTTATTTTTTCAATAAATGTATTTTAATTCATAACAATTCAATGTTGTCAAGGATTAGTCAATTAGTTGTATATATTTATAAGTTTTAATCTTTTATTTTATGTAATTTTTGTGAACACTTTCATTAATCTGAAAACCTCTTCAGGTCAGAATGAGTTTGGATCACTGAGATTGTACTACCTATTTAACTAGAAAAAACATGTAACCAATATTTCCCGCTGTACCATTTCCACCCTAAAACGTCTAAATTATTCCCGTCACCTATTTCCCTTTGAAACCCGTAAGCTCCTAGTCACTTCCTTAATTTTTACCCACTTTAACTATTGCTGTATGGTATACGGGGGCGTCTCTGGGGATCTTGAGACGAAACTATAATGTTTGATAAATTATTTTGTACGATTCATCTTCGGAATCCGAAGAGATGCCTCAATTTCCGGTTACACTAAGTGAACAATTTTCTGATTTCGTGAAAGGAAAATTCAAGTTCTTAATTATTTGAGGTTATGAAATATCACTTAATGACTTTTTACAATAAACTCACAATATGTACAACATAATGTTTTAAAAAAGTAGGTAAATATAAATATATTTATAAAGGTTATCTTGCATTGGATTAAATATGAAGATGGAAACGTGAGATATAGATTTGATATCACAGCCTCATTGTAATACAAACATAATTAAATAATTGAAATTTAAGTAATAAACAATTGAGGTTATGATGTGATCTTCATGGTCTTAGTTTTCCAGTATAATCCATCTTACCACTTACATGTAATGCAACAATTAAGAAATTATTTGCTTTATTTAGAAACCAGCAGGAAATTTGTGAATTGCAACTGATTAGTAAATAACTTTGACTAACATTAGCTTTGATTCTGTAATCATTCAGAAATAATCATATTATAATGTTTGGTTCTAATTTCAGTTGTACTCTTATTTTAAATAATCATCTACCATCAATGGCGTTTTCGTTGATGGTTAAAGCAGCCATTAAAATATTTAACAACAATATAATATATCAACAAAACACTCCTAGAAATAAAACGAAATGCAAGCAGGAGATGAGATTTACCATTAAAAGAGTCAAAAGAACAGACATGGACCCAAAGGTAGTGTGAGAAAGTCAGATAATAAAAAATAATTTGATGAAAATCTTAACACTCACTTAGCAAAGTATACATAGTTTCTACACCTCCATTAAAATTATTCAAAGTTTCACTCCTTACAATAGTTGAATTGCCTTCACTAAGTATTTGCTCCCATAAAACTTGAACATACGACAATATCTGGAAATAACAAAACAAATTATTACAATAATTATTTATATGAAACTCAGGAACTAAATTAGTGAAAATCAAGAACCATACCTGATAATAACCACCAGTCGCTAATGCCAACCAAAACATCCATTTTAGTGTGTACAGATTCGAAACTGCACAATAAAAATCATTTTTTAGGAAAGAGATACTTCTTTTAAAATTTGACTTCTTTAGCTGCTACATGAATGAATGATAAAAATATTATTAAAAATTAAATAATATAATTAAAGGAATTAAAATTACCTTTAAAACAGAGGTACAGACAGTGTTTGATTCATCTTCTAAATTATCAGTACTCGAACTGTTTGGAACATTACGATTAAAATATACTGAATGTTCAACAGAAGGTAAAAATAAAGCCCAAATTGTAGCTAATATCATTCCTGAAAACACACATAAAAACTTGTAATTCAATTGATTTTAATCATTCAGTGATTCATAAAAAGGAAAACATATTAAAATAAAATATATTTATCATTTATATAGTGCTTAGGTTAGGGGGAACTTTTTTTTATAATATAAATTACTTCAGTATAGTAGTATGATACATTAAATAAGAAAAAGGAAGAATAAGATTTATTATAAATAGTGGGTTGATGGTTGACTGTCACAAATAATGAAGAGAAGGATGGTTGGGATGATCAATCAAAAATAAAAAGGGAAAAATAAATATTATTACTTATTTTTGCCTTTTCATTTCTGACTGATCACCCCAACCATCATTCTCTTCATAAAATTTATTATTCATCTAAGCACCATTCACAAAAATGCATTCCTGAATAACATAAATTTAATGTATAATAGTCGTATTATTTGATGCATTTATTTTATGTTTGATACACAGGGTCAGTGGGCCCTTTTATACAAATCTGAAGACCGGGGACAGGTTTTGCAGGAGTAGACAGAGGATTTGAATTGATGGAGTTCGGAGATGTATGATGGACAGGGGGATTAGATGACTTGTTTTTATTTAATACACAATACATACAGTTTACTTCAAACTGAACTTGAGTAATAACTTGATGTTTTTTTTTATATTACACTTTGTCACATTTAAGAGGAATTAGAAGTAAGTGATAAGTGTATCCATTGAAACTGTATATATAAATAATTAAAAACGTCTCCGTAAGAGTGGGCCACAGTCCATACTTCAACTTTTAATAAAAAAAATTTGAAATAACATTCATTATGATGAATATTGGGTAGGCTTTGGCCTATACTATGATAACACTGATTGCTTATAATTTAAAGTGAATTATATTTTATATTGATTTTTTAAAAATTTAATTCCAATGATTTTTTTATTGACATAAAGCAGATATGTTTGCAGTTTTTTATTTCAATTCAAAAGGGTCAAAATAACATTATGGGAGATTGATTAAAAGTTCTTATAAAAGTTGTTTAAAATCATAAATACGTAGATATATACATGTTTTTCAAATTGATCACTTTTATGTAACATAAAACGAAAAATATATTGAGAGTGGAAGCCTGAGGTGATTCAAGAATTTCTCTTTCTAAATTAATAGCTAATTTTGATAAGAAACATCAAGCTTATCTATCTCAGTGACTGTTAAAAAGAAAAAGTTCTTAAAATGAATATTATGAAATTGTTATTGCATAAGTAAGCATAAAATAACAAAAGTAATGTTTCTGTTTGTTTATTTCTAAAAATTAAAATATATCTATATAATTTTTCTATTATATATCTTTAATATAGTAGTCAATAATCGAAAATTTTTCCATGATCACTAGAAAAACAGTCATTTCGAAGCAAATAATTATTTGATTTGGGATAATACAACTAACAAAATCTTTAATAATACAACCTTTAAGAAACACAAACCTGCAAGTGTAAAATAATTCAGGGAATAATAATCAGTCGGAAGTAGATAAATATAAAGCTGCGAAACAACACCTGACACCGTACGGCCGACAAGATAAGCAGATCTAGTGTGTCCCGATACTGCTTGATAATGGCATTTATCAACTTTTGCATAAATGTACGTATAATAGGCAACTTCAGCAGCCATAAAAAGGCCATAAAAAACTTCCAAAACCTAAAATATCAGGAAATTTATTATGACATAACTGAATATAAGCACAATTTAAAAAAAAATGAAATATTTCAATTACCTGCATCCAAAACATTGAGCGTGCAAAAATTAGTAAAACATAAACCATGATAGCACAAATGCTGCCAGATATAATGATTGGTTTGTATCTTAAAAAATCAGTCAATAAAAAAACCAATACTAATGATACCATGGCAGTATATATAGAAACAGGATATATTTGTTCACCAATCTGTAACATAAATATTGTTAACAATGGTAAGCTTTTTAAGATATTTATTTTTGCATAAAATTATCAATGAAAAAAAATATTAAAAAAAAAAATGGTTACAAAAACTAACCTGTCTTATTACCTTAAGGGATGAAATATGCGTTTCTACTTAAACATACTAGTGGTTTGTAAGTGAAGTTAACAATTATGAATAATAAAACTTGCATTATATAAATGCCTTCTATAACACATTACAGTTCCCTGCAGGTAAATACATTCCACCTTGTGTATCTGTTCATATCAACATACAGAGAGCTCCTTGGATGTATTATCAGGAGAGTTTTAAAGATCGTTTGTACCTGAACAAGACTATCCTCCAAAGAAAGATCAGATTATAAGACTTCTGTAGTTTTTTTTTTCTTCTGTATTTGTTGCAAAATATCATAAACATATATATGATAGAAACAATTTCAGCTCAAAGCACTGAAAAAATATTTTGTTATAATTTTAAGTAGTCTAAACTTTTTTTTAATTTCATAACGTCGGCATTAATAATGGGACAACTCAAAAATGATGATGAATTTGAATTTACAACCGGTTAAAATTCAAGATTATTTCAACTGAATTGTTCACAAAGCTACCATTTTTGAATTGTCCCATTATTCATGCCGAAAGTCAATGTGGTATAACCAAAAAGTCCAGGATACTTAAAAGTGAAATAAAATATTTTTTCAGTATTTTCAGCTAAAATGTTTTCAAAACATCCACTGGATCTAGCTGAGTAATGTAAACCTTTAACTTTATTTCCAGCTCCCATGCCAATATGGCAAGGTGGGTTCATCAATGCCATAGTAATGAGACCATTAAATTTGAAATGAACCATAAAAGGTTTAACACATTACTCTCCTTGTGGCTAACTCGTAGTTTTAAAACCAAATACCATAAAATGAAAAAAACATTTAAAAAACCAATTAGTATGACTTACATTACTGCTCATACAAGAAGTAAAAAGTGAATTTGTATTTAATCAAAAGAATGATAAATTAAATTACTACTTTACAAAATTAAATAATTGGGTGGATATATTCTATAAATATAAATAGCCAGATCAAAATAAATTATGAACGAAAAAAACCTTGACAAAAATAATTTTTCTTTATAACTCAATGATAAACTGCAATGTGATACAAAACACATCTGAATTTGATTTGTAGCCAAAAATAATTCACAAATATGAAAAATAATACTGTCAGAAAATAAGCAAAATGCATTTTGATCTTGAACTCCACATATATCTCATATTAAATAATAATTTAAATATACAAATTAACAAAAACTTACTTGGTCTAAAGTAAAATTGAATGGCGGGTTGTTCAACATTTTTGTGACATAAGGTTCTGCTGGTCGGAATTCCTTTATTACTCCAAAAATACAAAGAAGAATAGAGATTTTTTTCCATGACTCCATATTTTAATTTATATAGTATACCAAACACCAAGTCTTGAATTAATTAAACTTTTAAAATTATCAATAGTTCTTATTTATGAAGAAAGCATAGTTAACTACAGTGCATCCCTGAAACATGACAAAAATAATACATTTCCCTTGTACAAATATCATAGAAACTGGAAAATTATTATTATTATTCTTAAAAAGAATTAAAAGAAATACATTACAAAATCTAAACACTAGCGATGATCACCTCTTCCTCACATTGAAGAATAAGACAGAGGGATGGAGGAGGAAGAGGGGGGTACATTTCCAGACACCCTACAAAAAGCTATTTAAAAAAAGATCAGGGACCATAAGAAGTGATCTATTTAAAGTCAGAATAGCATGATTCAATCAACACAAACCATTATGTGGATAGAACATGGACTAAGAAAAAAAATTTAAAACAAATTGTGGGACAGAAAGTACTGCATAAACAAAACAAAGAAAGCACATGATACAGATAGAAACTGATTATAATATAATTTAAAAAAGAAATATATAAATAAAAGTAAAAAAAAAGAAGGAAAACATAGATATTGGCATCATGTTGGTGTATTTACTCATTTTGCCAAAAATTAACTGTTTATTAATTGTACAATTAACATGCATGGACTAATTTATATTACAAATAATGCATTACATAATTGGATTTTATTCATCAAATAAATGATATCTTTAATTTCAGACAATCCAACAGATTTATTGGGCATAATTTTCAAATCTTAGCAAATAAAACCCTCCGTCAACAGATTTATGGATTAATGAAATTTTCGATATTCCAATAAAAATTCCAATTTAACCTAATAAATTGTTTTAGAGATTTTTGAAAATAGATATAGTTGTTAGTTTCTTCAAACTCATAAGAAATTCCAAAAAATGCAAAATGGTATATGTAATAGAAACAATATATATCAAATAAAAATTGTTTTATTACTTTTTCTATTTTTCTTTAAAAAAAAATAGTCAATTTTTTTTTTTATAAGTTACTGAATTGAAAGTAATTAAAACATTGCCCGAAATGATTCACCCTCAACACAACAGAATGTGGACAAAAGAATTTTGATAACAGAGCTCATTATTATCACTCAATTAACTTACAAAAAAAAAAAAGAAACAGTAACGAACCACAAGATTTCTTCTTGAATCTAAGACATTAGATACTCTGAACTGAATGACTCCTAGATTCTTATTATATAGATAGAGGAAATGAGGGAAATCCCTGTTTAGTTATTTATGTCATAAAAGTAGAAAGGCTAATTAATACATTACTATAAGAGATAGTAAATAGGATTGCTTGATAATATTGATTGACAACAAAGAATTTATTGTTTTGTTTTTAAAAAATAAATTTCCTGTTAGTATCATATTTTCCTTTCGATAACATTAATTATTGACTGATGAATGCATCAAAAGATCATTATCAAATTATTCAACTGATAAAAATAACCATTAGGGTAAATGTAAGAACTCACATTTCAATTTATTGGTTTACTTTGGTAGGAGTGAATGGATAGGAAAACTTTATATGAATGTCATACATATAGACGTATACATACATACATATATATTAATTTAAGAGATTTTCATTACATATTATATCATAAATGTATAATCAATATTTTATATATTCTCTTTTATTTAGTAGTAATTTCATTTTAATTTCTTTTTCTCTTAAATGCGATTAAGTTAATCAACAACTTGGGTTATTCGAAATTAAATAAATATTTATGAAATTTTTTAGAATATGTTTCTTATTGAAGTTTTATCTATTTGAATCTCTAAATAAAAAAAAAAAATAACCTCACAAAATGTTGGAGCAAGTAATTATAAAAAACTGGTTTATATAAAATTGTGTATCAATGAACATATAAAAACTATTAATGCTTTATGATTAATAATTTATTCCAGGTGCAGATATAGTGGGTCCAGGAAAAAAAAAAGAGGAAATAGGAAGGAAAAAAACTTGTAAAGCATGATGTATCCTGCTTTGTCATTATTACTCATTAATTGCTTCCTCAGCTAGTATAACTAGTTATAATGGGTGCTAGCTGAAAAAAAACTAACGTATATACTAGCAGAAGAGGAAAAATTGATAAAATAAATTTAAAAAATTGGACATAGATGGAATTTTGATCATAACATCGTCTTGGTAGTAAGAATCAAAATCTAAAGAGTTTTACTAAGGTTTGGGGCGGAGGGATAATCCTCTAGAGAGGAGGGAATAATTCTCTCTGGGAGGTGGAGCAGCGATGAAGTATTTGCAGTAAAACTTACACTAATTGTAAGATGGATCGTATATTATATATATATTTTTTTAATGAATCGAATCAGATCCCTCCCATGACCGTCGGTGAATACGACGCAATATTTAATATTGGAGAATAAATTAATAAATAATTGTAGCTGGTACTTCTCGATGTTAGTTAATTAATAAGAAGCCGAAAAATGATTTTTCTGCGATTTTATGATTTAATAAGGGAGAGTTGTCCCTCAAATAGTTGGGCAGATTCTGCAGATCTGGATTCCTATCACCAAAACGAGGTGTTCAGGAATCAATCCCTGAAAACACTAAACACATGAACAAAATATTTCTATATAAATCTGGACTTCACCATTTTATTGGCCTCCATTTTGAAGTAAAATTTTCTTGCACAGTTAAGCCTAGGCAGCAGTAAAGTTTGCGCACTCATTTATTTTTTTGATCAGATATTAATTAAAGAAACATGATTTTCTAAATCCAAGTGTAACAGCCTGGTGGAAGGGTATGGGAAAGAAGTAAGGGGAAGAACAGGAGGCCAAGAAATCAAGATCATTTTTAAACACCAAGTGAATCCAAATTCAGCACAATTCAATTTTTTGCCTGAAGCAAAATTACTTCACTTTCAACCTTACAATGCCAAACTACAAAATTGTATTTTATTTATTTTTTCATCATTTCTAAAATTATATCAAATGTACAAATTTTTTATTTTTGTATCCGTTATATTCAATAGAATCATTTATGTTCCACGAATATTTGATTTCAGTGATCCAAACAACCCCATACTGTCCCCACCAATTGATACATGAAGTAAGCCAATACTACACACTTAAAAGTCAATGAGTAATATTTGGCTCACACCAAATTACTCTGGATGTCATAACCAAAGCTTCATGAATACACAAATTTTTTCGTTTATTTGGTCGATTTGGGTCTATTGTTACTGTACTATAGAGAGTAAGTATATCATCTAGAACTGTCACTGTCGAGATGTGAGTTATAAAAACTCAAAATTAAATCTTCATAACTATTTTTGTGTTTATCTTCCAGTTTCTGGGGTCAAGATTAAGGATTCTTTCGATCTTCCAGCTGCTCTAGCTGTGTAAAGCTTTTCTTCCAGCAACTCTCATGCAACCTCTTCTAGGTCCATTCCGTTAACATATCCGGCTCAGCGAAGTTTCTATCTTTAATAAATTCAGCCACAAAGCCATATGAAGTATAATTTCTTTATGTCCTGTTTCCAGATGTGATCGGTACATGTTGGTCCAAGGATTTGTCGCTCGAATCAAATCTGTTCTTGGCATCTAAGGAGAGGACAGCATTGAGACGATAAAATTGTTTTTATTATATGTCTGATGGGGGTTTTGTGTCATATAACTTCGTAGAACGAGATATTGTTTGCCTGTCATTAGCCGTTTATATATTTCAGACTGTTTGGATTCACCTGGGAATCAAGGTATAATAAATATTCGGCAGTTCTTCCAACAACGAATTTACCAATTTTTTCTTCGAAGTTTCAGTTTACAATCTGAAATGTCGTTTCAACGTCATTATTGTTTACTAGATTAGATGGAGATTCGACCTGACTTTAAGGTTATCAGTAAGAAAACAGTATGAAAAACATCTCGTATTAATAGTATGTATTTTACATACTATATGTACATCACATATCTCTTTATGATAAATAAAATCAAAATAGAACGTCATAAATTTAGAAAGTAGTGTCGAAACCGGCATTAGATATTTCCGTCCTGGAGTAATCACGTCATGAACTCCCTCCAAAAAAAAAAAAAAATATTTCTTAAGGTGTATATTACTTTATGTTTGTATTGCGTTTAAATTCTTTAATTCATTGGCTTTATTAATAGGCTAAAATTAATTATAAGCCCTGAGACTTCAACTTCAACTTCAATCAATACTCATTTACGAAATAAGTAACTTGCTTATCTATAACGTTATTCTATGACCTATTTGAAAATAAAGAGCATAATTAAGGATTTCAGCAAAATACGTCCATAAATAAAATACAGTTAATATGAAATTCTTCGAAAAATTGTGAATCCACCATGGTTCATTCCAAATTGCGCCATACACCACATCGAGACAACAGTAACATGACAAGTTCATTCTTCAAATCAAAATCACCCCTATCTTTTCATTCAATGTCTCATCTTTTCAGTTCGTTTGACCGATGATACAAAATCTAAATCGAGATTCTCACGATATTGCAAATAGATAAAAACGACAATTAAAATTTTTTTTATTCGCGCATAGTAATGCAGTTTTGAACGTGTAATAAAATTATAAAACTATAAAATTGAAATTAGAATGTTCAAACATGGTCGAGTGTTGTTTCTGTTTTTTTCAATCAGATTTTGACAATGTTGTTCTGAACGAAAATCAACGAAGAATCTAGCGAAGAACGAGACATTATAATCTATTATAACGTTCCTTCTACTTAATGCAGTATTTAGTGCCAACGTAAAACGGTATTCATTAGAAAATTGTTAGTTGTTTCTTCCTCTTCCACCAGTAAGAGGGATAAAAACACTAAATCCTATACAGCGAACAGTATTAAGATGTTCCTTGTTATTGCCGATAGGCTGCGTGTCGGAATTCCAATTGCATAGGATTAAACAACCAATAATTGGTAATAGAGTACCAATTGTGTCACCCACAGAAACTGTGGGGTTAAATAATGTTAGGACTTAAA